AACAATCACAAGTCGATAATTGCATTTCGATTCAAAACATTTATTCCCGATTCCCTAGTATCTTTCGCATTTTCTTCATTTATCATTTTAGTTGTTTTATATTATTTATACTTAATAATGAATCATTATCAATCTATCTTGATTAGAATGTTTAGGATTTATTTTGTTTTTATGTGCTATCAATATCAATTCTAAATTCCGAATAGTCTTCCTCAAGAGAACGACCCGGAAACGAATTATTTGATTCGGTGCTCGGTAAAATAAAAATAATTTGTACACAACAAAGTCAGATCAGAGACGAAGTGATGGCTGCAGATGAAGGAAAAATGAAAATTGAAAAGTTCGATGGTGCGGACTTTGGCTTTTGGAAGATGCAGATCGAGGATTATTTGTACCAAAAGAATATGTATCAACCACTCACAGAAAAGAAGCCAGAGGACATGAAGGAGGAAGAATGGAGTCTCCTTGACAGACAAGCCCTTGGAGCCATTCGGCTGACGTTATCCCGTAATGTTGCTTTTAACATTGCAAAAGAAAAGACGACAGCAGGCCTCATGAAGGCTCCTTCCAACATGTACGAGAAACCATCAGCCTCAAATAAAGTTCATTTAATGAGGCGATTGTTCAACCTGCGGATGATCGAAGCTGCTCCGGTGGCACATCATCTCAATGAACTCAACACCGTTACAACCCAGTTGAGTTCAGTTGGGATCGAGTTCGATGATGAAGTACGGGCTTTAATACTTTTGTCTTCCCTACTAGAAAGTTGGAATGCTACGGTCACAGCTGTGAGTAGCTCATCGGGAAGCAATAAGTTGAGATTTGATATTATTCAAAATTTGGTTCTCAGTGAAGAGATCCGGCGGAGAGAGTTGGGTGAACCATCGACCTCTTCTGTATTGCATACAGAGTCAAGAGAACGAAGTTCAACCAAAAAAAGCAGACACAACAAATCAAAGGGGAGAAGATCCAAGTCCAGAAATCATCGCAGTTCCCAAAACTCGAAGTTGATCGAGTGTTGGAATTGTGGGAAGACCGAACACTACAGAAACCAGTGCAAGCGTGCACCGAAAAGTCAGGAGGCAAAAGAAGAGGCAAATATTGCTTCAACCTTTGGAGGAGATTCGCTGATTTGTTCTTTAGAGAGCAAAGATGAGTCTTGGGTGTTAGACTCGGGAGCATCCTTCCATGCTACCTCACAGAAGGAACTATTCAAAAATTATGTTCTTGGAAATCTTGGTAAAGTTTACCTTGGTAATGAGCAATCATGTGCAGTGTTTTAAAAGTCGCTAGGCGCCTGCTAGGCGCTCGACCAGCGCCTAGCGCCTAGAGCGCCTAGGCGGGGCCTAGGCGACACCTAGCCGGGGCCTAGAAATCAATATTAAATACATTATTTTGTATTTATTTAACTACATACAAAATAAAATTATCTCAACTTTTAATAAATCGACACACCTAAGTCCAAATAATCAAATTAATATATTTTAAAGAAAACATGAGAACAAAATAATGTAATTAATATTTAAAAAAAAATTAAAAATCTAAAAAAAAAAAACTGAAAAACTACCACCGAGTCCGCCTAGGAGCGCCTAGGTCCGCTATGCTCGCCTAGGAGCCACCTAGCCCGCCAAGGCAGCCTAGGAGCGCCTAGGGCCGCCTAAGCCCACCTAGGCGCCGCCTAGCAGCCTGGCAGATTTTTCTGCCGATTTGTGCAAATCGGAGGCGCCCGGGCACCGCCTAGCGCCTAGGCGGCCGCCTAAGCCGATATTTAGAACAGTGATCATGTGAGGTTATAGGGAAAAGTGCAATAAAAATCAAGCTTAGTAGGTCTGTATGGGAATTGAAAAATGTCAGACATATTCCCGACCTGACGAAGAATTTAATCTCCGTGGGACAACTAGCCAGTGAAGGCTACACGACAATCTTCAATGGTGATGATTGAAAGATTTCAAAGGGTGCAATGATAATTGCTCGGGGCAAAAAGAGTGGTACTCTTTACAAGACAACAGGAGCATGTCATGTGATTGCAGTTGCAACAAATGAAAACCCCAATCTATGGCACCAAAGACTTGGGTATATGAGTTAAAAAGGAATGAAGATCATGCACTCAAAAGGAAAATTACCAGGCCTCCAGTCAATAGAAATTGACATGTGTGAAGATTGTATACTTGGATAGCAAAAGAGAGTCAGCTTTCAGACAAATAGAAGTATCCCGAAGAAGGAGAAGCTTGAGCTCATCCACTCTGATGTTTGGGGTCCAACGACTGTCCCATCCGTTGGTGGGAAGCAATACTTCGTGACTTTTATTGATGATCACTCCAGAAAGGTATGGGTTTACTTTCTGAAATACAAGTCAGTATTTGAAGCTTTCAAGATTTAGAAAGCTATGGTGGAAAATGAGACAGGCTTAAAGATCAAGAAGCTCAGATCCGACAATGGTGGTGAATACGTAACCACCAGATTCAAGAATTATTACTATGATCACGGGATCAGAATGGAGAGAACCGTGCCTGGTACGCCTCAACACAATGGTGTAGCTGAGCGTATGAATTGAACGTTGACTGAAAGAGCCAGAAGCTTGCATGTGCAATCAGGCCTACCAAGGTAGTTCTAGGTAGAAGCAGTCAACACAACAACTTACTTGATCACCAAAGTCATCGGTACCATTGGATCACAAGTTACCAGAAGAGGTATGGAGCAGAAAAGAAGTAAAACTCTCACATCTTAGAGTTTTCGGGTGTGTAGCATATGTGCACATCAGTGATCAAGGTAGAAACAAACTTGATCCAAAATCAAAGAAATGTACTTTCCTTGGTTATGGTGAAGATGAGTTTGGCTACCGCTTATGGGATGATGAAAACATAAGGGTGATCCGCAGCAGAGATGTCATATTTAATGAAAGAGTGATGTACAAGGACCGACATAACACAAGTGCCAGCAACTCAGAAGCGAGTGGGCCAGTTTATGCAGAGGTGGAAGATATCCAGACATTCCTATAATAAGGAATCCTCAGTCAGAGAAATAAAATGAAGAAAGCGGTGAGCAATCAGAACCTTCTACTCCAACTCATGTATTGAGAAGGTCCTCTCGGCCCCATGTGCCTAACAGGAGATACATGGAATACATGTTGTTGACTGATGGAGGAGAACCTGAAGATTATAAGGAGGCTTGTCAAACCATGGATGCTAGCACGTGGGAGCTTGCCATGAAGAACGAGATGAAGTCCTTGATCTCAAATCAGACATGGGAACTAGTCAAGTTACCTATGGGAAAGAAAGCACTTCACAACAAATGAGTGTATCGGGTGAAGGAAGACCATGATGGTTCCAGAAGATACAAAGCCCGACTGGTTGTGGAAGGATTTCAGCAGAAAGAAGGAGTTGACTATACTGAAATATTTGCTCCAGTTGTAAAGCTCAATACTATCAGAACTGTGTTAAGTATTGTGGCCAGTGAAGAGTTCTACCTAGAGCAATTAGACGTGAAGACTGCATTTCTTCATGGAGACCTAGATGAGAAGATTTATATGCACCAGCTTGAAGGTTTTTCAGACGGAAAGAAGGATATGGGGTGCAGATTGAAGAAGAATTTGTACGGCCTGAAACAAGCTCCAAGACAGTGGTATAGGAAGTTTGAGAGCTTCATGCACAATGAAGGATTCCAGAAGTGCAATGCTGATCACTGTTGTTTCTTCAAGAAACATGAGTCCAGCTATATCATATTGCTACTTTATGTCGATGACATGTTAGTAGCAGTATCAAATATGATATACATCACAAATTTAAAGATGCAATTGTTAAAAGAATTTGACATGAAGGACTTAGGTCCAGCAAAGAAGATTCTTGGAATGCAAATCACGAGAGATAAGCAAAAGGGAGTTTTTCAGTTATCTCAGGCAGAGTACATCAACCGTGTTTTGCAGAGATTTAACATGGACAAGGCCAAACCAGTCAGTACACCTTTGGCCAGCCATTTTCATCTATCCAAGGATCAGTCTCCTCAAACAAAAGAAGAAGAAGAGTTCATGACTAAGATTCCTTATGCTTCAGCCATTAGAAGTTTGATGTACGCGATGGTCTGTACGAGGCCAAACATTGGCCATGAAGTGGGAGTTGTGAGCAGGTTTATGTCAAAATCAGGAAAAGCTCATTGGGAAGCAGTTAAATGGATTTTGAGATAACTACGAGCAGGGGCGAAACCAGAAAATTGGTTGAGAGGGGGCAAAAGACATGATATATTGGGTTCAGAACCAATACCGAACCGATAACATTTCGGTAATCGATTCTCAGTTACCGTTATACATAAGTCGGTTCGGTTCAGTTTATTTTCTCATCGGTTATGTTAGTTTCTGGTTTTCAGGGCAATAAAAGAGAGTTGAAGTCTTTTTATATGGCCCAATTAAAATTGTAGAATGATAATAATTAATATACAAAATTAATAGTAAAATAAAAGAAGTGTTGAATTGCTAATTGATAATCGTGGACATTTAAAACCAAAAAATGTAGAAGGTGCAAAAATAAATTTAACGGGGGTAAATAAAATTTTTAAAAATTAATAGTATAAAAAATCAAAATTTGAGGGGGGG